GGAGAGAAAATGGCAGGCTGAGCCACTGCTTGGTACTAACGTTAATCACAGTGACAACTCTTTGATACTGGCTTGCAGGTGCTTGCAGCTGCCCTCAGCTCCTTCCTGCTTTAGTAGGAGGAAGTCAGGCACACAGAAACAGGGGTGACCTTTCGGCACAAGAGAGAGGAAACTGGGCTGAATTTCTGCTCAGGTTTCTCCAGAGCAAGGCTCTGACCAATGCAGTGTTTCATGAGAACCTAGCTCCCATCCTGTCCAACCTCTCTTCTTCCTGAGTACCAAACATGCTCAGCTCTGCACTCCACTCCTATTCAGATTTGCAGGGAGAACTTCCAGTGATTACAGAACAGCAGAGGGGGACGACAGAGCTTCCCTGACCTTCTAGAAGAAACATGGCTCCTGTGCCCTGGACCTGCTTTTCCAAGAAGTCTCCCCCTCCCCCCCCCCCCACCGCCGCCATCTACCCCACGTTTCTATCTTGGGAAAATTACGAGTGATCGTGCTACTGTGGCACAAACATACCCAGTCCCTGGCTCCATCCAGAAGTCAGCCATTAACCAAACCATTCTCACTGAGTCCCTCCTCCTACCCCGGCTCAGCACTCTTCCCACTGAGACACCTGCGCACTAACTGGAGACGACTTTCCCACTCTCTTGATGAAATCAGCTCTCCTATGAAGAAAGGAAGCAGTGTCAGGGAGCAGCCTGAGTGTGCAACCATCGGAAGGACCGAGGTGGCTCAGGGAGTTATGTCCAGGGTGAGATAAAAGCAGCTGGGAAGATGGAGTCCGGGTGGGGATTCTATACAGTCAGACCTGAGAAGGACTGACCCTGTGGCTCTACTGCAGAATATACAAAGCCTGCAGTTAGGCTCCGCCCCTCTGAGAAGGACGGGGAACTGGCTGAGTATGCAAATAATGTCCAAAACAGGAACCAAACCAGCCTTCATTGTAGTCCCCACCCGGTTGGGCCAGAGCTTGAAGAACTGAGGGGTAGAAATTGCAAAACAAGGAACAGGATCTTTCCATGGACTGGATCTGGAGGGAAATCCAGGAAGGTTGGATTTCAGCTCCTCCTTGGTCTCGGGCTCCTGACATCCTAAGAGGACCTCAGAACTTCACACCTCACCCAGTCCTTAGCTGAGCATCCTCGCTCTGGATAAGAATCATTTTAGGGTTTTTCTGTCCTGCCTTGCCTGAGCTCAAGCTATTTCCTTAGGAAGAGAGGGGGACACTTCAGGAGGAATAGCATCTGGCCACAGTCACTTCCATAGCAGGTAAGTGCAAGGCTTTTGTTAGTTTTCTTATCTGTTTCTCTGACAAAGACAATTTAAAAAACAGGGTTAACTTTTGTTTGTGATTTATAAAAAGCTACAGTATGTCATAGTTACTTTCCCAATGCTCTGATAAAATACCACGGCCAAGGCAACTTGAAAAAGAAAGCATTTGACTGGGGGCTTATATCCCCAAGCAGCCGACAGAGAGAGCTGACTGGAAATGGTACAGAACTTTTGGAAAGTCAAAGCCTGCCCTCAGAGACACGCCTCTCCAACAAGACCTAGTCCTTCCCAAACATCCCACCAACTGGGGAGCAAGTATTCAACCTATGAGCCTGTGGGAGCCATTCTCATTCAGATCACCACACAGCCCATGGCCCCATGATGGCACCCAGGTCTAAAAGCAGGAATATCGCATCTGCCCTCAGGAAACAGAGAGCAACAAAGGCTGGTGCTGGTGATTCCATTCCATCCCTGCCCCTCAGTCCAGGAAACCCACATTCAGGGTGGGTCTTCATACTACCACTAAACCTCCCTAGAAGTACACCCACAGATACAACCAGACTCTACATAATTTTAACGCCAATGAAATGACAGTGAAGATTAACCATTATAGCCCTGTTCATGAGGCAACATGAAACTCAACCCCTGGCACCAGGACAGGAGTGCTGGGGGTCTGGATTATTCCACTCAGGGAGTTCACAACAGAGCCCCTCTCTGATGTTCTTCTTTTTAAAGATTAATTTCGTTATTTTTGTATATACGAGTGTTTCCTGCATGTGTATGTGTGCACCATATACATGCCTTGGGCCCACAGAGGGCTTCAGATCCTCTGGGATGGGAATTAAAGAAGGTTCTGAGGCACCATGTGGGTGCTGGGAATTGAACTTAGGTCCTCTGCAAGAGCAACAAGTGCTCTTAACCTCTATGACGAGTCTCCACCCTTCTGGCCGTCTTCTGTACCAACTAGCATACATTATTATTTTTTGCTTAAACGCATGCAACACAGCAGTGAGGAGGAGGTAAACATCCCTCTTATCTGCCTACTCATGCCTCCTGGATCTTCTGATGAGGCCCAAATTTGGGGGGAAGGGAGTAGAATGTGCTATACAGATCTAAGAAACACTATTGTAGCCTCCTCATTTTCCTTAGGGGATTAAACCCCCACTGTCAGAATCACCTGCAGACAATACCTAGGTTACCCTGAACAGATGAGAACTCACGAGCCCCTCACCCACGGGAGCCCCTCTCCTGCCCCACCCATGGAACTGGAATCTCAAGATAGGATTGTAAAGCAGGGCGTGGTGGTGCACACTTTTAATGCCAGCACTCAGGAGGCAGAGGCAAGTGGATCTCTGTGAGTTTGAGGCCAGCCTGGTCCACAGAATAAGTGTCAGTACAACTAGGGCTGTTACACAGAGAAACCCTGTTGGGCGGGGGAGGTAGGATTGTAAGATGGCACTATCTGTGTGCTCTTTCAGTTTGACTCAGCTCAAGTATTTTATCTGCATTGAGAAGTCTGCTCCACAGACAGGCACAGACTTATTCCTTTGAACATTACATTAATGCAGTGGGAGCTTTTCCAATTCCCTTTCTTTCAATTCCCCACTGCACGCCCTGTGTGCCAATGACATTGTCCATCATGAGAAAGCATATAGTCTTTCTGGAATAAAAATCAACACACTTGTTTTAGCTCACTCTTTACTCCTGCTGGACAAACAGGGAATAAAACCAAGAATTTGAGTCGGGAGACAGGCAGGAGGATCTCTATGAGTTCCACATCAGCCTGATCTACAGAGTGAGTTCCAGGACCTCCAGAGCCTCACAGAGAAACCCTATCAAAAAAATAAATAAATAAATAAAAGTGGTATACCACGTAAATCCCAAATCCAATCTGTGTTGCATAGCTGCTTTCCCTGCACTGGAATAGCCACTGCCTCCTGAAGGGATGGGGGAGGTTCTTAAAACCCAAGGACCAAAGGAAATTAGATTCTCAAGAAGCTCAATGGGTCAAGTCCCTCCCCCAAGGTTGTGTGAGCAACAAACACTTGCTAGGGAAGAGCAGACTTTCTACAGTAGAGCTGCCTGCCTGCCTGCAGCCTGCACAGGAGCTCCCAAGGATGCAGTGTTTATGTGTCAACACCCCTAGTCGGTGGGCCTCTCAGTGAGGCCACTGCCCTCGGTCCCCCAAGCTTCTGCAAATCACCCCAGAATGATTGCCTGTTGACTAAGTCGAGCATGGAGGAGACATCTGGAAGGGAGGGCAAGGGTAACTGTTCACAACTCTCCAGAAAAGTCACATGACCGAGCCTCATCACTGTCCTTGCCCACAGTTCTCCTGTGGCTAGTTGCTGTGCTGGTAGTGCTTAGAGGGAATGAAAACGGGACCATAGTGACACCTACAGGCTACTTCGGGAAAGAATTTTGTCATGTGTCTTTTTCTTTAAACTTTTTTAATTTAACAATTTAACTTCCATACTTGAATACTCTATTTACATCTTTTCATACCTCCATTTCCCCCTTGGACTTCTCCCACATTCCTCCACTTCCTCTAAGGTTCATGACCCCTTTTTCTTTAGTCATTGTTATGCACAAATACATACATAGCACACACACACATAAATGCCTAATCCATTAAATGTGCTTGTCCACGTAAGTGTTCAGGGCTGATCGCTTGGGACTAGATAACCTGTCAGGAGACTCATCCCTAGAGAAAACTGGTTATCTCTAAGAGAGTTATTTTTTACATGAAGTGTGTGAGCCAGGACAAAATGCGTTCATTATTAGAAAAGCAAAATATTACATGAGAAAATAATCCCACTCTCTATCCCTTCAGAAACTAGAAAGGCAATTACTTTGCAACTGCAAAATGATCTGTGAAGGTAAGACTGCGTGATGTGAATGATAAAAGCTGAGATAGCAGACAAATAAGTGAGATTTTGAAAAGAAGACGAAGAGAGAAACTACTCGGTCTCTCCAGAATTACACCATGAAGTGCTGAGAGAGACTACCTTCTCCAAAGGAGGTCAGATTCTGCGGCACACACTTGCTGAGTCCACTGAGTCCAGCATCCAGTCTGAAGTCACAGCCAGGAGGGGGCAGCTGCCAAAGAGGGATCCCCAACTGTAAGCACCATGCTTTCCTTTCTGGTCCCGTATGCTGAAAAATCGAGGTGCCTTCATGATAACTGGAGCGCTAAGCGTGACAGAGTGTGATCGATTACCTCTGCGGGTGCTTTGTGGGAGGAGAAATAGCTTGTGTTCCTAACTCTGTGACAGCAGGAGACCAGGAAAGCCCTGTCAGAGCCTCCTTCGGCTAGTGAGTTGGAGTCACACATAAGAACAAGGTCCACCAGATGGTGGTGGCACACACCTGTAACCCTAGCACTGCGCCAGGTGGAATTCTGAGTTGGAGGCCAGCCTGGCCTACAGAGTTCCAGGACAGCCAGAGCTACACAGAGAAATCCTATCTCTAAAAACCAAAATAATAATAACAACAACAATAATAATAATGCCCATGAGAAACTAAATTTGCTGAGATTGGAGCTAAGATGACTACCCTGACAGAAATACTAGAGCCCCTTTCTTTAGTCACAAAGCAAATTGGAGGATGATTTCATTAGCCTGTCGCAATAGTGGGTACAAGGTTCTGCACCTGTAAGGTGTGTGTGTGTGTGTGTGTGTGTGTGTGTGTGTGTGTGTGTGTACGCGTGTGCATATGGGTTTGTGCATGTGTCTGTACATGGGCATGTCTCCATGTGTGATAGGTGTGATAGTGTGATTGACTGGTCACCCAGCTATGTACAAGGCACTCCCTGATCAGCCAGAGTGAATCAGCATGAATCTCTCTGTGAAGTGTAACCTGGTGATGAATGAACAATACCAGGGTATCATCATTCAACAGAAGAGAGGAAGGGCAATAGAAAGGCAATCCCCACTGTCACTCCAGCATCAGAGAAAGTAAACAGAGAAACACTTGTATTGTATATTTTATAGTCATTGACCTTCCCTTTCTATCTACAGTGAACTAATGATTAATCAGAATAAAAGCCTATTGAGGCAAGATATTTGAATAACTCAGGTGTTAAGGATTTGTTTTGGTCATGGTAGCTCATGCCTTTTGTTCTAGCAGTGGGTGGAGCTCTGTGAGTTCAAGGCCAGCCCAGTCTACATTTGAGAGTTCCAGGCCAAAGGGGCCCACAGTGAGATTCTATCTCAAAAACATTTTTCAAAAAGAGCACTTTTTTATTCTTGCAAAAGACCCCAGGCTCAGTTTCCAGCACCATATGGTGGTTTACAACTGTCCTTAACTCCAGTTCCAGGGGATCTGGCATCCTCTTCTGGCCTTTGAGGGCATGAGGCACACACACAGTATGCAAATACACACACGCAAAACATTCATATACATAAAATAAATTAATCTTTTAAAAAATCTTGCTAGGGAGGGTGGTGGTGCATGCCTTTAATCCCACTTGGGGAAGCAGAGACAGGTGGATCTCTGTGAATTCGAGGCCAGCCTGGTTTACAGAGCTCCAAAGCTAGAGAGACCCTGTCTCAGAAAAAGAAAAAAGAAAAACAAAATCACGCTGCCTTAAGGAACCTTTCCCTGATGCCCAGTCATACAAGCCCTGGTGTGCCAACCTTGGTTCCTCCCAGGAGCACGAGCACTAGAGGATTGACTCTGAGGTCCAGGGAAATGCTACCTAGGTTGGAATTCTGGCTCACTGACATAGAAGGTCCCAGAAACTCTCTTTCTGATCTTCTTGCACTGCTCTGAGACTTGTTTCTATTTGTTCTTATGGAAATCACATAAAGCAAGCAGGACAGATAGACAGGCCCCACCAGTCTCTAAAGACAGAGATGGAAATCAGCCCTGGTTTCTGCCCAGGCCAAGGGCTTAGAGGAAAGCAAACAGGAGGGACAGTTTCTGGCTGTTGCTCAAAACCTCCAGTTCATTAAACAAGAACAGGAATTAAAAAAAAAAAAAAAAAAGCGTACTCCCCTTCTCGGCAGCTGGGTCTTTTCCAGGAAGGAGAAAGCGAAAGCTACCATAAGGATCACATTATTGGTCACCTGGAGGGGTGGCAGAGGGCTCCCTGTGACCAGAGAGTCACATTTCACAAACCTCATAGGCAGAAGTTGTGTTCAGGGCACTGGAAAGTGCCCACGTGAGCCTCGGCTCGTCCTCCCTCCCTGGCCAGCCTATCTCCCTCCACAGTAAATATGAAACAGGCTCGATTCTCCTGCATACAGTACACACCCCTGCTCCTATTGACTCTGCGGTGCAGTGAGAACTTGTGCCAGAAGGTGCAGAAAAGCCACAAAGGGAATGACAGAGCTCTCCTGACTCTGAAAGCAACGTGGCTCCTCTTGCCTGCCCCCTTTGTCACTGTGCCAGTTGCTAGAAAACACTTCTGCTTTTCTTCATGAAAACATTGCATGGGGGTCATTGCTTCAACGCCAGGGTCAACGGCTCCAGCTCCTGCTTTTGCCCAGGTGTCCAACTCGAATAAACTAACTCCTGGATCTTAGAAAAATGAAATATGCCCCCCTCAACTCAGACCCACCTCCCACTCAAACATCTAATGCAAGGGCTGGAGCCTGATTCCCCACTCCCTGGTGCTCTGGGTATCTCCTTTATGACAGTGAGGCCAGGGTAATCCAGTGAGCCAGCAACCAGAGAAAACAACCACACTGGCTGCAGGTCTGCAGGTTAGCACTACTCAGGTGGTGTCCATGTAAAGAAGGTGCAGGCGCAGGCACGGGATGCTCCGACCCTGGGCTGGCTGTTAAGGTCCCTAAGCAGACATGACCAACACTTAACTCAAGTCCCCATTCCCCACACCCCTCCCCAACCCCTGCTTATGCTGAACTCAGATGAGCCCAGCAGTGCTCTGTCCACTCTCTAAAGAATACTATGGAGTCTTCATAGCCTAATCCTTCAAACCAGCTGTTTCCAGGAATTGAAACTGAAACCAACTTTCATCCCAGCCTTGGCATGCAGGACTCAGATATATTGACTGCCTGGCAAAAAAAACAAAGTCTCTGGCAGAAAGGCAATACCCTCAGTCAGCCAGCTCCTAATCCTTCCTGACGGTATCTCAGAAGGACTCCAGACCTCTGTATCTCATCTCTAGACATCCTGGGTCTGCATTCCAGTTCTAGATCGGTCCATTAGAAATTCTGCTGAGGGACAGCAACGTTTTTCTGGAAGGCAGCTGACATCCGGACCCCACATAATCCCTCCTCTGGAGCTGGTAAGTAAAGGCCTCTTCGCTGAGCAGAGCTGGACTCAGTATTGTTCCTTTTTACCTTGAGGGAGTCTATCACACTTTCCAGAGATAAATAAATATCTTGAGTTTTCCCTCAGTCTTTTCTAATGGTGCTCAAATAAGGAGCAAGGAATAAATGCGGGTTTTAGCACACATAAGGCTATTACTTCACAAAAATCCTTGATTTTAGGTTCTTTACTAGTCTAGTCTGGTTCCCACATTTCTGTGAGTCTTTCTGATAGAGATAGAGATTCAATTGTGTGATATATGAACTACATAGACTCCTACATGGAAAAAATGCACTTGTAAATGTGCTTCATTTTGCCTCAGGTAAGCCATGAAATTTATTTAGTCGATTATAATAAGCATGTTTTCAAGTTAATTAATTAATTGGAGTAGAAATTAGTAAAACTCAGTTCAATGAACTAAATGGAATAAAGTAGTGCCAGAGTGAATTGTGTGGTACCTACCACCTTTCATGAAGCTATGGACAAGTGTGTGTAAGCATGCTATCAGTTCTGTGTGTCTGTTGCGAGATTCTAAAGACACTGCTCACAGGATCTGATTCTTCTTTCCAGGCCCAGCTCCCTTCTCTAGTTGCATCTATTTGTTAAGCTCCCTCCAAAAGCCATAAGGATCTGCATCCTTCCGTGGGCATCTTCAATCTTGTACAGAGGGGTTGAAATGGGGGTATAATGGAGGAAGGAGCCTCAAAAAAAGGAAGTGGTAGGGAGGGCCCATGAATCCAAAAAAGAATTCTATGGGTTCTTTGCAAATACTGGGTCAGTGTTCTGAGCTACTGTATTCCTAGGCTATCCATGACAACACTCTCCTGAGTGGCTCCTGGAAGAACTTACAGCTTTACACAGTTACCCATAGCCTTGCCTTATAATACCCTAGCCTTATAATACATGAACTGTGGCAGGATACAACCCTCTTGAGAGTTCCCGGATCCTGTGTGCAGCCCTGACCTGCACCATCTCCCACAGGGTCCAGTACAGGGTATGCAGGTATGGGAAGTTCCCATCTCCAGTCACAGTGACATAAATGGTTGTGAGAAAAGCATAGTTTGTACTCATCTTCTACCCTGGTGAGTAAAATTCATGGCAAAGTAAAGCAGACACAGAATGAGACTTGGCCAATGACAGGCAAGGGAGGAGAGTTGCCTTGAGGACAAGACACTACTAAATGTCGCACAGCTTTTTTTCTGTAACCCATCTCCACACACCATTGCAGAATGTTCTCTCCTCCTGGACTTTGTCTGGCTTCATTCGCCTGGCTTCCAGCCAACTTTGCCTCAGACTATACCAGTCCACCATGGTGCCTATATACCCAGCTCAGGGCACCTTGACATTCTGAGGCAGAAAGTGCCACCCAGGTCGAGCCTTATCATCTCAGGTCTGACACAGGAACTCCTGGAAGAAGGCTCTCTGTAGTTGCTTGAAGGACTGGCAGCCTCTCTGCAGGTGTGATATGTGACAGCAACCTTTCCCATATTCTCCCTCCTACTGAACTCTGGACATCTTTGTGATCATTTGATGATGCTTCTAGGTCTCTTGACCCCAAAACAAGTTCCAAGTAGTTGGAGACACAAGGAAATTTCTTTTACTGTTGCAATTCAGTTGTAGGGGGCACATAAAAGACAACAGAACACACTGATTTCCAAAAGTATAAAATGTGTGTCCATATAAGGTATACTTAGCAACTGGTATCGGTGAGTAGACCAGAGTTCCCAAGGGAAGCCCCTCAGCATGCATCAAATCCTATATAAAGTAGGATTATCTTCACTATACAGGCAGAAACATGGAGTCGCATTGCAGTGATCAACCTTTGGATTCCTTACACTCTGTGCGTAGTTCAAGACTGGTTCTTAGACATGGTAGTATACCCCTGTACTCCCAGCACTAGAGAGACTGAGACAGGATGATCATAAATTTGAGGACAGCCTGGGCTGCAAAGCAAGACCTCATCTCAAGGGGGGGATTCTATTTATTCATAATTCTTTGTTTCTTCACCCACAATCAACAATAATGAATACCACTTATCTAATAGGGTGTAAGGACTATTAAGTGAGATAAGGCATTCGAAGGACCCAGCACAGACTCACAGACACGGGACCTTCTTGCCGTGTGGTTAAAGTGAAGGAGTGGAGGAAGAACCCGAGGAACGACCTCCTCGGAGACCCCAATAAAACCAGAGAGCCTCACCAAGAGAACTGAGAGGTGTGCAGAGAGCATCACACGGATCTTGTCATGAAACCGTCACACAAGTCCTGGGAGGTGGGTAGCATGACTTTTTGGTGCTTGAGGCAGAAACCTGGAGTTCCAGGAATGTATCCATGTTACAAAGAGCTGAGGGCCTCAAACACAGAATGATCTTTAGCCCCATTTCCTTCTGTAGAGGATGAGTCCAAGTCCCAAGATTAGACAGCAAAGCTATGGCAAGCAGAACTGGATTTACTCAGGTGCTATACCAGGAGATAAAAGGGGGTGGCCAAACCCAAGGATATTGTGGAAGATGGGAAGCTGCATCTTGGGTTGCATCATGGTCATGAACATGTCCTACAGAAAAATAATGTGATCTTCTAGGGAAACTTTGCCCCTCAATGTAAGGACAAGACAGGTCTCCAAATGTTCCATTGGATGCTCTTAATGTGACAGAAAGGTTTTATTAAAAAGAAAGAAAAAAAGGTTTTGGATTTTAGAATTGTTTTAATTTGTTTCATTTACTATGTACCTCTGTGTGTGTTTGTGTGTGTGTGTATGTGTGTGTATGCTCAAGCATGCATATGGGGGTAATTGGAGGACAACTTTTGGAGAGAGTTCTCTCTCCACATGGGTTCTTTAGATTGAACACTGATCATCCAATTCAGTGGTAAGTGCCCTTAGCTACTGAGCCGCGGGTGATAGGATGTTTTTATTTATAATCATGCACAAGAAGAAAGTTGAATTTTCAGAGAGGATAGCATAGTCCATCTGTAAGGAGCAGCTTGTATGTTGTAACCTTGTGTGATCCCAGCCAGTTCTTTTCTCAGTCCTGGACCAGCCCCACTAATGCTTTAATCTCATTGCAAAGCAACCAGCCAGCAAGGAAAATCTACTTTCACACATCAGCTTGAGTCCCTCTAATAATAATATTATCAACAGTCATGCACAGAAATGTACAAACATAAGTACTGACCAAGACATCAGTACAGGCTATTTAGAAATTGTTGTGTCTGTTGAAGTTGATGGGAGATGAACATTCACTAGAAAAAAAAAAAGACGTGATCCCCAATAAATATGTCATTTGAAAAAGGAAAAGGCAGAGTGTGCTTTTTAGAAAGGACTAATTAAATTATACAGAGGGCTTGCAGGTCCTTGCCAGCACATGGCTTAATGAGGATATCTGTTCTTCGTATTTTCAGTTGTCCATCCTGCCTGTGTTCCCATTGAGTGATCTAACAAACCCTTTCATCATGCTTTAGGACTACAGCCCTTCACACAACGGCTGCACAATCTTCCCCTCTGTGAATGTGCAATCGTTTCCTAAACTGTCCTGTTTGTAAATGAAATGTCTTTGCTACTCCCTTGGTTTGTGGATCTGGAACCCTGAGACTGTGATATGAAGTCTGTTAATTCTGATACCCCTCCCATGTCTAACTTCCCAACTCTTCTACAATTCTACAGGTAGAACCACTACTCCCCAACATGACAGAGACCCCTTATGCTCCATTGAATTCATCCTTCGCCTTTGCCACATCATATCAAACAGGGGGCAGCATTTTACCTGAAGTCAGCAGGACTGTTGAAAGGGCCTTGAGAGAAGGGAAAATGTTGGATGTGGTATATGGCATCAAGGAGACCGTGGCAGCATTGTCCCAAACTCCAGTGAACATCACTGTGACTGGAGACTCGGGCAATGGCATGTCATCTTTCATCAATGCACTCCGAATCATTGGCCATGAGGAGGATGGCTCGGCTCCCACTGGGGTGGTGAGGACCACCCAGACACGGGCGAAGTACTTTTCATCCCAATTTCCCAGTGTAGTACTGTGGGACCTACCTGGCTTGGGGGCCACAGCCCAAACCATAGATAACTATGGGGAAGAGATGAAATTCAACATGTATGATCTGTTCATCATCATCGCCTCTGAGCAGTTCAGCTTGAATCATGTAAATCTTGCCAAAGTCATCCAGAGGATGGGGAAGAGGTTCTATATTGTCTGGACCAAGCTGGACAGGGATCTCAGTACATGTGTCCTTTCAGAGGTCCGGCTCCTACAAAGTATAAGGGAGAATATAGAGGAGACTCTCCAGAAAGAGAGGGTGAACATACCCCCCATATTCTTGGTATCCAATCTAGACCCTTTACTACATGACTTTCCAAAGCTTAGGGACACGCTGCATAAAGACCTCTCCAACATCAGGTGCTGTGTGCCCTTAAACATTCTTTCTGGCACCTGTGAGAAGATCATTGATGAAAGAATGGCCTTCTTGAAGGAGAGAGTAGGCAACGGATGTTCGGAGAATTCTGTTTGCATCAGGGATGATGATGACCTGGAGGAGTGCCTGAAAGTGTACCGACTAAAATTTGGTATAGATGATCAGTCACTTCAGCAGGCAGCCCAGAGCATGGGGACAGTAGTACAAGAGTACAAGGCCGACATGAAGTCTCAAAACATGCACACTCTCCGCAGAGAGGACTGGAAACTGAGACTGATGACTTGCATATTGGTGAGGGCATTCTTCAGCATTCTGGAATGTTTCCCATGCCTACGTCGCTGTGTCCTCTCGTTCAGATGCAAAAAACACAGACGTGTGCTTCAATTAGTTGCCCAGGACACCAAGATCATCCTGAAGAAAATCCTGAAAGGCTCCATCGGTCCCCCTCACATCTAGTGTAGGGAGGGAGTGGGCTGGCACCCTTCTCACATGGAAGCCAGACTGCCTTGGGTCTCTCCTGGGTCCCTATTTATCCTCTAAAAATCAAGACATAAAACAACACTCTCTATAAGAGTCTTAGATGCTTTGAGAGGAGTTTAAAATCACTCATTTCCCTTGCCTCAAATCTAATGCATTGTTCCACTGAGGGACAAGAAAAAAAAAATGTTAAAAATCATTGATCATGATTCTTAGATTTGGAATACAGAAACTTTTTTTCAGTTGTTAAGTGTGATGTGTGTCAAAATCAATTTTCCTCTAAAATAGTCAAGTTGGTTCCCCTTCATTAGTTCCTTTTTATTCTCATTCTCCTTGCTCTACCTAGATACCCCTGTTTAAGGACTCGCCTGGGACAAAGGAACACTAAGTTCAAGTTTGGAAGCAGATGGAGAATGTGGTAGCAGTTTTTCCCTGAATTCTGTTTAGTACTGGGGACAGGACTCCAGACAGCGTTTTGTAGCACGAAAAATAAAAACCCAGAGACAGATATTGGAGTTCAAGCTTCAAGCTGCAGATGAAAACAAAGCAGCCTGTAGCTCTTACCTCTACCCAGCTGAAGCAATACTGCCCTCAATGTGGCTGGATTTCTGATCCTATCTTACATACCTCTGTAGAGTTAGGATTAAAGGCATGGGATCTCAAGTGCTGAGATCTCCTTTCTATGATCTATTTCTCTTTTACACTGATTTAATCTTGTGTAGCCCTGGGTGGCCTTGGAGTCACAGAAATCCATCTGCCTCTGTCTACTGAGTCCTGGGATTAAAGGTGTGTGCAGCCACCACCACCCAGCTTCTACAGCTAGCTAATATGGCTGGCTTTGCATTTTAATCTTTCAGGCAATCTTCATTAAATCATAAATAATATTACCACCCTAAAGGAATGCTTTCACACATCCTCTGCCAAATACCTACAAATTATATCTTAAGAGAGAACTTAGGGGCCTGGGGAGGAGGTAGCGCATGCCTTTAATCCCAGCAGTCAAGGGGCAGAGACAGGTAGTCTCTGTGAGTTCGAAGCCAGGCTCATCTACAGAGTGAGTTCCAAGACAGGCTCCAAAGTTACAGAGAAACCCTGTTTCAGGGAAAGAAAAAAAGAGTGAGCTCTGGTTTATATGAGTCAGTGTCATGGTAAGAGAGTAATGGCATTAATGGACTTCACACTGAACACATTTGAGAAAATTTTGCTGAGGATGTCTCTTTCAAATGTGTAATGGAGGTTCAAGGAGATTGCCAAGAGGTGGTGTTGACCCTTGAGCTGACATAATGAAGACTGACCTCCTTGAGGACTCAAAGGGCAGTCTTTTAGTCCATTTCCTGGGGTTAGATCAAAATACCTGAGGTTGGGTAATACAAAAGGAAACGAGGTTTATAACTCATTATTTCCGAAGCTAGATAGATGGATCCATGGGTAGGACTTGCTGCTTCTCCAGGAGGACCTGAGATCTGTTCCCAGCACCCCCAGCAGGTGGTTCACAACGACATGTAATTCCGGGGAGTTCAGTGCTATCTTCTGACTTCTTTGGGCATCCATACACAGGTGGTGTACACTCACATAGACACATACACACAAATAAAAATAAATCTGGAAGCCAGGGATGGTGGTACATAACTTTAATCTCAGCACTCAGGAGGCAGAGACAGGAGGATCTCTGTGAGTTCCAGGCCAGCCTGGTCTACAGAGCCAGTTCTAGGACAGCCAGGGTTGTCACACAAAGGAACCCTGTCTTCAAAAGTAAGTAAATAAAACCTTGAAATGTTCCCAAAGTTTCAAAGGTGAAAAGCCAGTCAGGCTGGCCTGTAGGATGAGCTTCTGAAAGACCCCCACAATGCTTATTGCCTGTTTGAATTGCTCTTGCTAATTTGCCAAGGTCAAGTTATGAAAAAAGTACAGGAGGGAACCAGGTGCTGCTCTCATCCAACGCCAACCAGATATCTGTGGTCTGCAGCTTGGACCAAAGCAAGGTCAGCAGGACGGTATCTGGGATGCTGAGATAGTCATAACTGAATTCTTTGTATTATTTGTGCCCAACCAACTGTCCTTGGTTAACTACAGCTGCTACATTTAGATGAAACAATGAAATCCCTTCTGCTTCTGCTTCTGTAAGCCTGCTTCTTGCCACCCCAACCCTATATAAACTGCCTGAGTTTTAACCTCAGCACGCTCAGTCCCCCAAAAGACTGAAGCATCCACAGATACCTGTGTAAACAATAAATAACTTCTTGCACTTGCATCCAGTGGTCTGGTCTCGTCTCTTGGGGGCAAGGGCCTTCCCCCCGACAGGCTCCAAACTCTTGGGGTCTCTTGGGGGGGGGCCTTTCACTTCTATGAGGACCTCCTACTTGATAGGGCAGGTGCAGGGTCACATGCAAAAAGACTCGTGTAGGAAACAGGAAGCCAGGCAGCTTAACAGACCGTCTCTCCTTTGTTTTATAACAACTAACTCTCATGAAGGAAATAATTCAATCTGAGAGAACACCATTAGTCTCTTCCAAGGACAATGACCCTAGGACATAATTACTGTCCACCAGGCACCCCTATTACAAAGTCCACCATTTCCATACAACCACAGTGGGGACCAACCCATATGAAGCATCAAGACACTTAAAACATGCCCAGCCCATAGCAGGCCAACAGAGCAAATGATTGGCAATTATGAAAGTTGTGGCTTAGGAAGAGGGAAGTCACAAGGTCTCAAGTGCCTGGAGGGAAGAGTGGGAAGAAGCTAAGGTCTGTCCTCACTGCCCTCACTTCCTGCCGTGTTGCCCACTGGCCAAATCCCAACAGCTTCTGGGTGATTTTCGACATTGTAGCATGACATTGTGGTCTTCAAATAAGTGCGGCTGCATTCTTAGCTGTCCTGGAATACAGGGAGCCTAGGGGCTGCTGCATGGACCTGCCTGTGAGGGTGAGAGGCCTTAACGATTCCTGCAGCCATACACCCAGACAGGTTTGATTGTTGATTGTTGTGTGTGCTCGCACGCACGCACACGCACGCACGCACACACACACACACACACGCACGCACACACACACGCACGCACGCACGCACTCTCGAGTGAGACTAGGGATGTCTCAGTAGGCCTAAAGCATTCCCTGTTTTCACTTCCACTCTTTGTCGTCCTTTTTTTTTCAGGTTTCTCAAGACAGGGTTTGTCCTGTAACAGTCCCGGCTGTCCTAGAACTCTCTTTGTAACCAGGCTGGCCTTGAACTCACAGAGATCGGACTGCTTCTGTCTCCCAACCACCAGGCAAGGCAACATGGTTTTAGCTCAATGGATAATGGCTCTCCTCTCAGTTCTCAGTGCATCTGAGCTGCTCCCAGCAACAGGTTCATTTTCATCTCTCCTGGGCAGAGCCACCTTGTCCTTTTGTGTCTTTGTTCATTTCTTTATCTCAGAAACTCTTCCCTTCATCCAGCAGATGCAGTTAATCCAGAAGGAATGAGCTACGAACTTGGGAAAGGAAGAGAGAGCCAAAAGCAGGGGGAGGTGGGAAGGGCCAGAAATAAAGTTGGCTCTAACTTTAATACATGGCTTCTCTGATACCAAAATCAGGCAAAAGTGCAATGAGCAGAGGAAGGACCCTGAGTACAGAAAGGAAGTGCTTCTGGAAACAAATAGCAGTAAACACACAGGCCTGCAGGAAGAAAAAAACTTTGCCTTCTATTAGAGGCCAAGGCTGACCACAGGCCCTGGGGAAGCCCGCAGCCTTGTTTCCTTAGCCAGATTCGGAGTCATGAAAAAGTTCTGATTAAAAACCAGGGAAACACCAGATTCTATCTGCTGCAGAAACACAGTCCTCTTTGTTTGCCTTGGTCTAGTCCAGTACTTTAAAACAAAATTGTCCCACAAAGACCCAGCCTGTAAAAATCTAGACTTTAGGAAGCATAATGGGACAATTAGGTTTGTACTTACCTTTCAAGAAAGAAAAAAATTAAGCCGTTAGTTACTTTCCTTCTTCTTTCTTTGCTTGTTTCAGTTTTTTTGAGATAGAGGATCACCATGTAGACTTGGCGGTCCTGAAACCTGACATGTCTCAGACTCTCAGAGATCTGCCGCTTCTGCCTCCCGGGTACTGAGATGAAAGATGTGTGCCAGTATGCCTGGCCCTGTAGTTACTTTACTATTGCTGTGACAAGACATAGTGACCCAAGCACCTTAGAGAAGAAAGCATTTACTTGGGCTTATGGTTTCAGAGGTTTGCAGTCCATAATGGCAGAACAAAGGCATAGTAAGACAGACAGCAGCAGACTCGTACATCTTAGTCCTCAAGCATGAAGCAGAGAGCTGAGAAGGTCTAGGTTTTTGAAACTTCAAAGTCTGTCCCCAGTGACACGCCTCCAACAAGGCCACACCTCCTAATCCTTCCCAACAGTTCCAACCAACTATTCAAACATATGAGAATGTGAGGGCCATTCTGGTCAGGGCCCATAAAAATGGTTCCACTTCATCTTGACTTAAGGTCAGGGAGTTCAAACCTTCTATTGCTCTTCCAAGGTGAAACAAGGATGTCTGGGCTAACATGTATATGTAACAGGGTTCTTGGCCTAAGGTGTGGTCGCTGCATGTCCAGCCCAAACAACAGACTACTTAACTCAGGACATACCTAGTTGATGTTTCGGGAATCAAAGAGGTAATTACTCACTCGCTTGTTCCTTGTATCATTGGAAGGGAAGCCTCTTGCCTTCTCCCCCCCCCCCCTTTTGATGGGGGTATAAATATCTTTGAATGACTAATAAACTTGGTGCTGATTCTGGTATTCACCAGGTGCCCCCTGACTTTATCTCCTGTCTCTTGACTATTCCTTTCCTCAATCCACACTCCTCATCTCAGTCTGCTGGACCTGGCAAATGCCGCTGCAAAGTGGGTTACTACATAGTCTCATTCAACACCACTGCTGTGCACAAAGAGATGTAAAGATACAAATGGACTGTGCTGTGTAAGACAATTTCCATTCCTGATCCGTACAGATAATTTTATTTGCATGGAGCTTGGTAACACATGCCTTTAATCCTGACACACCGGAGGCAGAGGCAGGAAGATCTCTGTGTGTCTGAGGCCAGCCTGGTCTACATAGTGAGTTCCAGGACAGCCAGGGCTATGTAGACAGACCTGGTCTCAAAAAAAAAAAAGAAATATATATATATTAGTCAGGTGGTAGTGGCGCATACCTTTGATCCCAGCACTCGGGAGACAGAGGCAGGCCGATCTCTGTGCGTTTGAGGATAGC